TCGGAAATGCGCCCTGGCCTGGGCAATTCGATTTGGGAGTTGTTTGTGGGAGAGGGAGATGAAGCCGGGGGCAAACAGCCTGGCCCTGAGGGACTCCCCTCAGTCATGGACACCGCTATTTCTGGGGATTTTGGGGGCAGAGCTTAGGGGAAGGAACAGAGGTGCCTGCGCCCAGGGGCAAGTCTTAGCGTGCAGATGAGCCCTGGCAAAGAGGGTGGGCAGTGAAGAGGAGGTGCAGACACTGTTCCTTGGCACAGAGGAAGGCACGGAGCTCCAGACCCTCCACCTCTCTAACACCTTTTCTTCCGGCCACACTGTGCCAGGGCTTGGCTCTCTTGAGCACCTGCTGAGACCGCGGCTCCCGTCTAGCGACAGCACCGTCCTCGTCCGCGTCCTCGTCCGCGTCCTTTGGTGCCTACCGGAGTAACGCCTGAGGAATGTTGGGCGCGCGCTAGACGGAGTGCGAGGACAAAGTGGGCGCGAGCTCGGGCTAGGGACAGCCAGGCTTTCATTCTGGGAAGATCTCCCTTGGCCTGGGTCTGCCCCAGTTGAGAGGGTTTCCTAGAGAGCAGCTGGGCTCTGGCATTGGGAGGAAGAGACCGGCCAAAACATGGCTTAAAGTGGGTAATGAGCCCCATTCAAGCCAGGCAGAAGAGGAATATGGGGCCAGGGGACTGTGAGGGTCAACGCTGTGCATGGGACTGAGGCCAAACTTCCCTCCCACCAAACAAATGCAGGTACACATACCCACACACCCACACCCACACACACACACACAGACACAGGGATAGACTAACAGCACTAGGAAAAGCAACCTGACTTTGTCCCAGAGGGAGGTGCAAAGGCACGCCATGCCTTGCCATGGAGAAGCTAGCGCTGACCTTTGAAACTAGATTTTGAGGTTGTTTACAAGGGAAGAATATGAAGCAGGGGGGCAAACAGGCCAGGCACCGAAGGACTCAATTCAGTTAAGGGACAGGCCGATCTCTGAGCATTTGGGGTAGAGGGGTTAGGGGATGGAGTAGAGACACCTGTGACTGGGGGACTCTGGCGGGCAGGCAGATGTACCACAGCACGGAGGGTTGCCAGACAAGCAGAGCAACAGACACTATGGCCTGGCATAGAGGAGGGCACTGTGCCTGCTCCCAGTTCTACAGATCCTTCACCTCCCTAAAATCTATCCTGGACTGGCCCTGGCCTGGTGGGGCAAATGCAGGTACCAAAGGAGACAGCAAAGTCCTTCCCCAGACTGCTGGGTCCACATCTGCAGCATTCTGGAGAACTCCCTGCTTCCCCCTTTCACTCTGGCTTAGAGGTGAGGCCTTCTTCTTGCTTGGGATCATGTTTATGAACTCCCCTGTGGGCTAGGGACCATCCTCCCCCTGTGGGTGGAGCAGTTGCTCCCACTGCCCTCTAGACCCAGCAGCCCTTCCATCCTGCCCATCCTGCCCCCATTGTGGCTGCTACTGGAGATGACTTGGAGCTTAGTCCAAGGGTGGGGATGTCCACAGCACCATGAACCTCTGGCTGCTGAGGGAGGGAGTGTAAATGGCCTCCAATATTCAGGAGGGTTGCCTGTTCCTCAGAGATGCCCAGAGGGTCAAGGCCAACTAATTTTTTTTTATTATTATTTTGATTTTAATTTGCTAATATTTATTTTAAAACTTTGAGTTTCAAAGTCTCTCCCTTTCTCCCTCCCCATCACCACCCCGTCCCTGAGAAGGCAAGCAATTCCCTATTTGGGTTGGAAGGCAACTAGATGTGATCCTGAGATTACAAAGCTCCTGCTTGTTAGAATGGCCGGCACCTGACCCATGAAAGGTAAAGACTGTGTTATATCCACTTGCCACCATTGCCTCTCAGGATTTCATCTCAAATATATCCCTTCATTCTGAAGCTGGAATTCAAGAGTCTCCCCCAAAGATCTTTGTTGGTTTATTTTTCAGATTAGTGGTATGGTAACATGACAAACACATTCTTGACACTGGTAAAAATTACATTTGACCTGTGTGTCAACACAACTTATTTTAACCTTCCTCAGTACTCATTTCTTGATTTGCAAATATGTATGTATATGTGTGCATGCATGTATACGTGTGTGCCATGTACACATATGTATACATGTGTGTATGTATATGTGCGCGCATATATGTGTGTGTGTCCATGTGTGTGTCCGTGTGTGTGTGTGTGTGTGTGTGTGTATTTGATGTTTCTCTGATCTCTGACATTCCACCCACTTTGGATGCAAATATCATTGGCTCAGATTCTATCGTTTCTCTATAATAATAATCTGGCTAAATAGGGAAATTCTTAGTTAAATAAACAATTTCTTTACTCTTTGAATTATTATTGATATTGAAATAAGCCAGATAAAGTGTATATACCAAGAAACCTGACCCACACATATAAAACATACACACACATGAATGCAGGGCCATCATTGATACCCTAAAATTTGGGGGCTGAAAGCTACTACCTGTTACCCTATATGTAGTAAGATAGAGCCGAGGCTCTCTCAGAATGTCCGGTATCATGACTGTTGAAAGGCAAAAGTCATTCTGTTATATGGTTGTCAGATTGGGCTGAGGGGCAGCTGGGGTCAGCCCAGAACTTGCTGCTGCTGGCCCTTGAAACCTGCAGAAGAGTGGGTCGCCCCTGCTGCCTTCTGGAGGCAGTGACCAGCCCTGTGGTATGAACTGCTGCCTTCCCCCCTGATGGTAAGAGGCAGAAAGGACAGCGATACCTCTGTGGCCATCAGTATTTCATGGCCAGCCCCCCACGTCCAAGCTGAAGCTGCAGTGACTATCACCCTGGGGACCTGGGGAGGCACCCAAGAATGTAGCCCTTAGCTTTTCTATCTGATGTAAAAGAACCATGAAATAGATCTCTAGATAAATACAAACATCTTTATCTACATAATACAATGGCCAGGAGGCCCCAAAAATGTGCCCTCCCTCTCCCATCCCAGCCTTAACTCCAATAAGCCCCTCCCCCCACCCTATCCCAATCAACTTAACACCTGCCCATGTGATAACATGTCCCAAAAGGAACTAGAATCCAAGTGCAGAGCAAGAGTCTGATGAGTCTCCAATGGCCTGTTTCCCCGCAGAGGCACCTGGGCCATGTCACGTCTGCCCCAGGGATACAGGGCAGCATCAGCTCAACAGCAGCCCTAGACAGGGCAAGGCAAGGGCCAATATCAACAGGATCCCGGCCAGTCTCCTGCTCAGCATAGCCACAAGCACATTCGCTGATGGTCCCACAGGAGACAGCGCAAATCCAGGCTGCTGGTCTTGTCAGAATCAAAAGCCAAGACAAGTGTGGTCATTCCCAGTTACTTCCCATTTCAAAGACGGCACCCATCATGGCCGGTGGTGAAGAGAATCATGCAAGTTCCCCTGGAGAGTGGCATTAGCCACCTACTGGAGCATGCCCATGTCAGACTGGCTACCAGTGTGCCCTTTGCAGCTGCCCAATTTGTCATTGCCCTAGAGCCAAGTTGGTGTAAGCTGTGTTTCTGTGGGACTGCTGCTGAGCATAGCAAGGTCTTCATTAGTCCCTACCACACCCCCAACACATGATAGAAAACTATTTCTACACCTCTTGGAGGTGGGCAGGGCCTGGCAGGAAGCTGGGCAACCTGACCCTGCAGATGATGGGGATTGAAAGAGAAATCGCTCAGCTGGTGGTCTAGTCCATATCAGAGAGGCCTGGGTGGGACAAGATGGCTCCACGGAGGTGGGCTCCCACCTTCCAGATGTCTCTCTCCCAGATGTCTCAGCGGCCAGAAGGGAATGAGCCTGGGGGAGGGAGGAGGAGGTGGGGGAGCTGCTTGCTGGTGGTGGAAGGAGGAAAGGGTGAAGGGATCCCGGAGGGAGGTGCTAATTGGCAGGCTTGCCATGGACCCGGAAACGGTAAATGCAGGTATAGTCCGGGTGACCCCAGTTACTCAATACTCGAAGCTCTACCAGTTGGTATGGAGCTGTGCCGTTGCCCTGTGGGAAGAGGAGAGTGGAGTCAGGAAGGCCCAAGATCCCTTGGTGGACTCCCACAGCCCTTCTGCCCCAGGCTTCCATCAAAGACCAGTGGCTGAATTCAGCCCCAAGCTTATCCCTCAGCTTCCTATCAGAACCATTGGGACCTGGCTTCCACTGCAGCCACTTGCCAAGCCACCGCGTCCCAGTGGCTGGTGATCCAGCCCTGGAGATCACCAACACGCCTGCATCCCTGCTGT